CGTCGATCGGAAAAAAGATACTGGAGGGAACGCCGGTTCCGACGAGGGTGGGACGGTGGCAGTGATGGCACACTTGGGGGTACAACCCAGCTGCACCAAGAAGGAAACTGCAGCCAGCGATTCGGTGATGTTTGAGTGAATCAAAGAAGTCGTGGCGAAAATGCGGTGTTGTATGTGGGTGGGGGGAAGGAGTCAACTAAATATTTTCATTACTTCACGAAACCCTTGTGCACTGGTTACTCAGCGCACTTGTGTGCAGTGTGGGCGTCTCCAATTGACAATGTGTAAATGCAATGCCGTTTGAAAAAGCACACGTCGAGGTGGTTCTCGTTGTCCACTTTGCCTTAGTTTATGGGCTGGCGAATCACCGATTGTCATTTTGTAATGTGAAATTATCCATTCTTGTCTGATGATCATTTTGGCAACATTCTCGCATCCACAACGTGTGGCCTTGATCGGCCAACAGCTGAACAGATTCCCACTTCCGGTTAACGTCATCAGCGTTAGGTTAACCACTCAAACGGCTTTAAATCCGCTTAAATAAGTAATGACCTGGCAAATCGAGGTCAGGACTGTGGCCGTGGAGGACGGGCGACGTCAACATCCAACAATTCCACTATCTGCCAAACACGTGTGCGGGGCCTTGCATTGTGTCGGTGGACCGCGATTTCATTGCAGATGTATCACTTCTGGCCGTTGTCTTGGGTGACTGCTGACTCCAGTTTCATTAGCTGGTGAGCAGGTACATCTGAATTGGTCGCACAGCGTTCGCTTGGAAGCAGCTCCAAGTACACAACACCCTCGTGATTTTACTTTCAATTTGCAGCATGATCTCTTTTCTTGCAGTTCAGGGGCACTGGATTTGCTTTGTACTGGTTCATCCCGTTTTTGAGTGCACGATAGTTTTCGATTGGTTTCTCTGTTGGCGGGCCTTTCTTTACAGCCAATGATGAATAGCCTCTGAATAGGGACGTTTTTCTTGCATTTGTGGAGTGCATCACTAATGACGACCAGTTTCGTTAAAAAACAATTGTCACTTTACGCGACTGATATACGTTGGATTAGCACATCTTGTCTGGTTGTGAACAAATCTAAACGTTGATTTTGCAGTTGAGGTGCACCAATAGCCGAACGAGTTTGCGCTAACTTTGCTCAATTCGTCTGCATTTGTCATCATCGTGGGGTGATCTGACGGCGATATAATCAATATTTAATTAGTATGTCATTTTTGCCTGCTCAGGACAGGTTTACAGCTTTTGTTTCTTTTCTAGAGGCGTGTTTCGACTGGATCAGTTTCACATCGCGCTCTCCCTCCTGCTGGGCACCCTCGCCACCCTCTTCATTCCACATGTGCCCGAGGATTTTGAGTTTCTCTGTGCCGTCCTCGCCGTTCTAGTCAACTACTTCCCGCTGTGCGCCTTCGCTTGGAAGTTCATCTTTGGTCTCAACGCTCTACTCATGATGTACGTCCTAACCACGCTAACGCTATGCCCCACCTACTAACTCCTCTCTATCTCTCATTCGGACCACAACTCAAATTAGCAGTTTTCACTCGACACTAAACGCTTAACTTAACGTCAAACCTGTGGCTGAATTCCACTGAGATTTGCCAAGATCGGAGTTGTTTGAATTTCGCTTGCACTGAGTGATTACACTTTGACAAATACCCGACCTAATTATGCTGGGTAAGAGCAGAACACCGGTATTAACCTCCTTAAAGGATTACCTGAACACCCAGACCTGAATTCCTTACATTTAACAGACTGCGCGGAAGTGACAGCTAATTTCCGTGCGTACATTTAGCATTAAAATTTAATTACAGATAGATCCGGAGCATTAATTGCATGAATGTTGGCTAAGCAACAAACTTGGAGTCATTAATACATTTCAGAGTTTCCCTTCGGTACGAAGAACTTTAAGCATAATGCCATGGATACAAGTTGCTATGTTTAGTAAATTAAAGTGGTGCTTGTTCTAGAGGCAATAGTTGATACCCAACTAATTGGATAGAAATACTCTTTTACCCAACTATCGGTCACCTGCCTCCTCCCCAGTTACCTTAATGCCAAAGTCTACGCAAACTTAGCCCATGGAAGAATCCACGGTTGTGCATTCGTGGCGACTCGTTCGCGTGGATTTCAGGCATAAATAAGTTGCCATCTGGAGTTTCCCGAAATGTCGCCGGCTCCTTTTGGAGTGAAGTAACCCTATCCGGACACGGTGTTGAGGTTGCTTCAGGACATGTTGAAGCATCTACTCCGAGTTCAATTCTAGGTTTCCACAATTTGTGTCTTCAGATTGACGCCGCATTCGGACTTCAACGACGCCTTATCCCACCGTATCGTCTACATACCCGTCACCGTTGGCGCCTACATCGGACCGGCGTTGATTGTGGGCTTTTGGTTTGGTATGGCGCATCACTTCAAGTCGGGACTCGGACTGTGAGTTGGCAGATTCCTGTGTTGCCATCATGGAGGGCTTATCTGCACCACTTTAATAAGTGATAGTGAATGAAGCTGAGGGTATATTTTCGACAATAACAAATGAATTTTCGCAGAGGCTCTGAAAACAACCGCATATCTCGCAATACCAGTCACGTGAACTTGCAGTTACCTCCACGAAAATCTCCTTACTAACGACGCTCTAATTTGTCCCACGAACGGTTGTCATGCGACGTTTGTTTGTCTGGTTGCAATGTCAGACCGCTTTTGACAATAGAAGACGCGTGAAAAGCATGAGAACTTGAGGGGGTATTTCTGTGTGCTTTAATTGTGCATGTTCGCACTCACCCTGCCAGGTGAAGGTCGTAGACAAATTTCTTAGCAATCCAAAAAAAAAAGAAAGGCCAACCACGACTGAAGTGCGGATTGACACAGTTGACCAAGATGACCAATCACGGCTGCAGTTGAGGTTGACACGATTGATGTCATTGGTCACTTGAGGACCTTGGTAAAGTTCAGCAGCGCTTGACCCCAACTTCCAGTTGATTCAGTTAACTTAAAGCGAAGATTAATAGTTCGTTTTCCATATCCGTGTGGTCTTGATCCGCTATTTTCACTTGAATAATACAACTCCAGTCCTAAATCACACTTCAATTTTCAAGATTGTAACTTTTTTATCCGGAAAGTAGCTAAGTGAATCGAGTCATGTTTCCTGATTTGGTGATTTGAGTTCTCGGTACCCTTGTGGCAAAAAATTGCTATTTGTTTGTCCTGCAGGTGCATTGGACCAGATCTCCTGGGCTACCGCTGGCCTTTGCTTGCGCCAATCACAGCAGTGGTGCTCTTCAATTTCTTCGTTCTGGTTACAATCGGTTTTGTGGTTCTGCGTAACTACCTCGCGATTCGGCGCAGCCGCGTCAGTAAATCCACGTGCGTTACCTTTCATTCTCATCTCTCTGCACAAGTAGAATACGCGACTACCAATCAATGCGCTGATTCTCCTAGTAGTCAAAACAATAGCTCTTACCGTTTGGTTATCAGTAGATCTGCTCACTGCCAATGTCAGCTTCCAATCACTGTCTTGCTTCTTCTCTTTTTTAGGCACCTACTCGTACTTTTACAGCTTATGCTCACCCTGGGCATTCCCTATATGCTCATTTACATCCAAATAATCAGCCCAGTCTTCATGCTTCTGATTCTACCAATCGGAATCGCCCTCACGGCCGTCTTCATGTTTTTATTGGTTGCCGTCATCGATGATGTGAGTCCCCCTTTTTTTCAAACTTAAAATGCGGTGCGGATTTTGTCATTTTGCGAAGGTCTTGGCTCAACGAGTAGTAGTAAAGTTTCAGATGCTATATGATTTCAAAATCGATCAGCACAGTTATTTGGGGCATGGAGACTTTACTTGAATAATCGATACAGGCCTAAACCTTTTCAAAACCGCCAGCAGAGCCAGTCGGGGGAAAGGATTTTATAATCAAGAGCTATTTCTATGCCCCTAAGCGGGTCTCCTGTTGTTGACAGTGGTGAGTGGACACAGTTGTTAGAACGAAGTGACAGCTACCCCTGGGAGGTTCGCGTTTCTCTATAGTTGGCACGTCGAAGCAGGCGCGGCCACGACCGCGTGCACGTGTGTGTGTGTTCGACCACATGGTGCACTGATTTCACGGACACGCGTTCATGACTCATTGGCTGGCTCATCGTCTTCAACTCCCCCGTCCTCCACCCACTCACCGCATCTGGCAGCCATCACTGTCCACCTGACCGCACCTCCGTCTGTTCGAGCCGTCTTCTCGTTGGTTGTTCGCTTGAGAATGCGGCGTCCGCCTCACCTCTTTCGTCATCAACTTGTCATTGTCCACTTGCGAGACACCAGATGTGTGGGTGCTTCTCGTAACCTCAGTTACTTGATGCCGGTGAATTCGTCAAATGTCGGCAAAAAAGTCTCGTGCTGTCAGTTTGGGCATAGGGCGAGGCGATGTAATAGTATTAGGTGTATGACCTAATTTGTGTCGATTTTTCAGCGAATTTATTTCGCATCAAAAATAGAGGACAACGAGCTGAATTCTGGAAATATTGTCCATCATTTTCGATGACCCTGCGCCATCTCAGGTAACGCACAAATGCCGCCTCGAAAGATACTTGCAGGCTTCGAGGCAACAGAGTCGTCGCCAAATCTGAGCACATCGTTCAGCGTTTTGACGTGCTGTATCGACCTGATCAAATGGTAGACGGATGGGGCCAAGTCTGGTGAATATGCCGCGTGTGGCAGAACTTCCGATGCCAAGTTCAAGAGGGTCTTCTGAGTCGTGTGAGCAACCTGGGGAGAGCCTTCTTCAAGTGGATGTCCTGTTTCGACATGTGTTCATACGTAGACTTGAGTTGCCTTCAGTCAAAACACGTGAGACCTAACTTCCAAGCTGTTTGGGTGTCTCCTAACAGACCTGCAAGGTCTTGTTACATTTGCATTGAGTCTTCGACCAGTAACATTTGCGATTCCGCATCTTCAAGTATCTTCGAGACTGCTGTCCACGGAGCGGCTGGTCGCACACATCGAAATGACCACTTCTACAACGTCGTCAGCACCAAGAACACCACAGCTTTTGAGTCTTGCTGGAATTCGTTTAGAACGGGCTGCCATCGAATGTGGTACTTGTCAGTTGGCATCGTCGTAAAGTCTGCTGTCGCGGGAGTTCATGTAACTCACGTAGACTTGTCGTTCAGTGTTCTGAAACCTTGCGTCCGATCCTTTCACAAAGCCACAAAAATATTTCTATTTTGAAACTCTTGCTCCACATCGCTTCGCATTACCATACCCGTGAATCGTTATAAAAATTTGGACACTCCTGTCTTAGTGAAGAGTGAAAATAGGTAGTTTTCTAAGCAATAGGACCTCATCTCCAATCATGAATGGACTTTACGCTTATCGTGAAACTTGACAGTGTTTTTGCAGGGATCTTGTGTGGGGAATCGTCTACTTAATTGTTTCATGTGTTTAACTGTTCTTTTGGGCCATAATTAGCACACTTGCGCATCGTTGATTACAGAGGGCTTTGAACATGGCAAAACAAGCTGAGACCTTTTAATGCAGCGCTGATTTGCACCAGTTTGGATTTTTCCTCAACCCCAAGATTTCGCCCTGTCTGTTCTCTCTCTCCCTCTCTCTGCATACACCACCACCTACGCACAAACAGTGCCTACTTGAGATTTCCTTGCTGTCAAATGCCTCCTGCCATTTTTTGCCATTTCACCAGATCGAATGCAGCCATGGATCCGGAATTGCGTGTGTGTGTGTGTGGCCACCCAACGCCCGTTGTACAGGTCACTTCATTCCAGCTGATGGCAAAAAATGTCGAACAGCTGCGCCCGTTGGCTGGTTGAGGGGGGTGGGTGGGGTCTAGCCCCAGGGGGCGTGTGAGATTGCGAAACTTGACGCTGGACGGGACCATGGAGGAATTAGTCAGCGGACCCTCTTCTTCCTCAGCCCCTCCCTTCCCAATTAACAGCCGCCTGCATGTGTAATTGGGTTTTCGGTGAATTGATGTCTTCTCGGTGTGTGAAGGTTCCTGACGTCATGGTATTCCTAGCAGCTGCCAACACTGATTGGACGCCAGTCTTGTTAGTGTTCTCTTTGAAGGTGTATCTAGAGTGGGCTAGTTTATTGCTTAAATGAGGCATTTTTAAATTGAGAACAATCTTGGGTCGCTTGGGCAAATTTTACGTCAACTGGAAACCAAGAGGCATTCCCAGCTTCTTCATTTTTTTTATTGACAACTTTTTAAATTTGGCTTCCATAGCTGCAATCCAAGGGACGCCCCGTGAGATGTTTACGGGCCTTTATCCAAAGCATCCTTTCATTGCTTGATCACCAATGAAAGCAGCCCACCCAAGAACCAATTACATTCGAGTTACGCCGTGCTTTTGCCACCAGGACCATACGTTGTCGCGTTTTTTCCAACACGTGTCCGCATTCTCATCCACCACCACATCTCTCAATCATGTCGGATTTGACCCTCCTGTAACCTCAAGGTGACACCAATTGGGGAACCGCATCTCACCTACCTGCTTCCTCATTGGTTACTTTTCAATTCTTGCGCCCGCAGCTGTCATGGCGACAGTTGTCGAATAGTGACGAGTTCGCGGCTTTGATCTTGTCGTGATAGCCCACACTCCTACACAATAGCCTGAGAAAAGCTGCAGCAACGCATGACTCGGCGTGTCGAGGCGTTTCACTCTGCGATTCCACGGAAGCAGTCTGACAGCAGGCGCGAAGCGAGCTCTGTTTAGCCGTAAAAGGCGTGTGTGGGCGTGTGAACGCAGTCTGGCGTTGATGTCGCGAGAAAGCGATTTCGGTTGTGGAGAATTTACGCCAGTATTATGATTCTACCTTCACTTGACACTTGCTAGATGTCATTGTTAGTTCACTTTAGAAACATGTTTCAAAGTCAAGGAAGCTGCTGAAGTTTGCGATGTTGAGATTACTTTCTGGAGACTATTCACTCTAAGTTAACTGACGTCGTTCTTGTCGACGTGCTGAAGTTGCTGATGACTGCAACAAAGTCACAGATGAAGGAGATCGCGATCACTCAACCGCTCGAGTGACAGCAAAAGAATTAAAATTGCCTCAAAATGACTTGGCCTCGTTCTACCGGTCAGTATTTGGGATTCACAAGAATTGCCGTTTCTCAAACGCACTAAAAATGGCCTTTTTCTGGAACGATGCATCACTAATATGTAAAGGTAGGTATGCCAACAGGGAAGTTAACCAACACAACACCTTCGTGTGTACTTTGAACCGCCTCCAAGCGAACAAACTGTCGATCCAGAAATTCATCGTTAACAGTTTATAAAACTGGAGTCAGCAGTCACCCAAGACAACGGCCAGAAGTGATACATCTGCAATGAAATCGCGGTCCACCGACACAATGCAAGGCCCCGCACACGTGTTTGGCAGATAGTGGAATTGTTGGATGTTGACGTCGCTCGTCCTTCACGGGCATAGTCCTGACCTCGAATCGCAAGGTCATTACGTATTTAAGTGGATAGAAAGCAGTTCGAGACGTCAAACTAACGCTGCAAATGAGGACCGGAAGCGGGAATCTGTTTAGCTGTTCGCCGATCAAGGCCACACATTGTGGATGCGAGGGAATTGCCAAAATGCACAAGGCTTTCGTGAAGTAATGAAAATATTTCACTGACTCCTTCCTCCTCCCCCATACACAACACCGCATTTTCGCGACGACTTCTTTGATTCACTCAAACATCACCAAATCGGTGGCTGTAGTTTCCTTCTTGGTGCAACTGGGTTGTAT